CCCCCACCCCTTCTGAAATTCATGTTCATTTGGAAGGGGATGCACATTATGCACAATAAGCCAAAATATTCTATAATATTGTGGATATCAAAATGAAGATAGTTTCGTCCTTAACTCTGTGAACGTGTGTGGCCGACCGGTGTTTTGGCTCACGTCTCATTGGTCCACTTCTCCATACTGCTCAGCCTGTTCTTTAAGGTTCTGACTCAGGACCCTGGGGCACTGGACGGAGCAGACGCAGACCCTCGGTTCTCCTGCATCGCCGACCTGGTGGAGAACAACCAGAATCCCCAAAGGTTTTGTCCGTACTGTGAGGTAAAACGTCCCAGCTGACCAGAGACTGTGCATTTGGTTTAATAAAAGTTGTTTTTCTGAACCCTGTTGCTGTTCTCCTCACAGCTGTTCCAGCCTGACTGCACAAAGCACTGCAAGCTGTGTGACGTGTGCATCAAAGACTATGACCACCACTGCCTTTTTCTCAACCGCTGCATTGGTCAGAGGAACCACAGACTCTTCCTCTTCTTCATCCTCTCCATGGCTGCTGCCAACCTCCTTTTTGTCGCCTCGGGGATAAGTTACCTGTACAGTAAGATGTCGGTAGGCAGCCACGGCTTGTCGATGTGGCTCAGGTTGTTGGGGGAGGAGTTCTGGGTCGTGGTTTTGATGATCATGAACGCCCTGACGCTCCTTTGGGAGGTGTGGCTTTTGATTGAGCAGTTTGATGCTGTTGCCACGGGCACGACCACTTACTTCAGACACTGTGACAGCTCGGGACGACAGAGGTCGTTAGGGCAACGCTGCGTGATCGTTTTGGCATTTCTCCTGGAGGGACGGCGATCAGTGGGAGGCAGACAAATCAAAAAGGATAAAACCACTGTTGACATTTAAACCCATTTTAAAAACTTTTTCACTGTTTCTCATGTCATAATTCAGTTTCAGTATTTCCAGAAATGTGTGTTCTTGGCCTCTTTTATTCACTAGGCTTTAAATATAATGTGACATATCGTACTTGAATGTAATATAGAGACTCCACATTAAAATGTTTTTAAAGGGATCACTGATTAGTTGTAACATTAGACTTTATTTGATAAACACATATTTTAACTGTAAAATAACGACTGTAAAAATACTGTAGGCTGTTTAGTTTTTATCATTTTTAAAGTAAAAGTTTAAAAATATATTACAYGGACAGGGCCATTTTTTTACATGCAAAGCATTCTGGGTAAATGATGATGTGGATAGGTCATCTGTTCGAGGCTGCTAGCGAGCTATATCCACCCTGAAGGTTAATCTTGGACAATATCTGACGATCGACTCTTTTAAGTGAAACCAGAGAGCGTTGACAGAGAGGAGAAGGTAGAAACGACTCAGCCTGTAACTGAAAATATGGATGGAGGACAACAGAGCTGCTTCATGAAAGAAGAACCTCAGCTTAGCCTGTTAGCTTTGGCATTAGCCCCAATACTATCACCATATATGTATTAGCTCAGCGCTACACATTCTCTCATCACTGAGGTCCTCCATCCACATGACAGAGAGGGGAACACAAAAATGACTCAGACTGCAACTGAAAATATGGATGGAGGACCTCAGTTTAGCTCGTTTGCCATGTTAGCGCTGAGCTAATACATATAAGGCAATATAGCATTGGCGCTAGCGCAAAGACCTGAGGTTCTTCTTCCATGAAGCAGCTCTGTTGTCCTCCATCCATATTTTCAGTTACAGGCTGAGTCATTTCCACCTTCTCCTCTCTGTCAACGCTCTCTGGTTTCATTTAAAAGAGCCAACCATCAGATATTGTCCAAGATTAACCTTCAGGATGGATATAGCTCGCTCACACCGAGGACCTATCCACATCATCATTTACCCAGAATGCTTTGTGTGTAAATAAAATTGCTCTGTCCGTGTAATATATTTTTAAAATTTTACTTTAAAAACTATAAAAACTAAACAGCCTACAGTATTTTTACAGTCTTCATTTTACAGTTAAAATAGTTGTTTGTCAAATAAAATCCAATGTTACAACTAATCAGGGATCCCTTTAAGAATTTGCTGTTGTTGTAAAGAAAGTTTGGTTTTAGTGTAAACCCTGCACCTCAATCCGCTAGTATATTTTAACCACAAGTGAATTAAATGTCTTTACCAACCTGTTTCAAAAGCCATTTTGTGCCATGACACTTTTTGCTCTCACTAATGAGATGTTCCCCGTTCTGTGCCTTTTTTTAATTACACTCTCATTTCCTTCACATCTCACAGAGTTATATTTTTAGATTATAGATTATATTCCTCACACCTCTCCGAGGCAATTGCATGAGCGAGCGTGACGTCATGTCATAAAATGTACTGTTCAGCATACCGGTTGTTGTATGTGAGGCTGTTACAACTGTGAAACAGAGAAGTGGTTCCTGAAATTGGGGTTGGGAGTGGGTTGTGGAACACCAAGGGGAGTTTTAAGATCTGTAGAAAATTAACTTTAAGTTGATTGCCAGTAGCATGTTTAAATTTAACTGTGACAAAGATTTTTTTAAAAAAACTGTCATTTTACAGTATGTTGGTCGACCAGGTTGTTAAAGGTTGATTAGGTGTCTGCAGCATTTATGTTGTGAGCTGAAAGCTAAAAAAAATTTGGGAACCACTAAAACAGAGTGCCTCTACTAACTTCTTTGTTGCTATATATGGACATTTTGTATTTGTCTGGCTATTATTTATGCTTAAAACTGTGTTTTATCAGTAATTATTCTTTTTTTTTTCCAAGATGATGCTTTATTTTATGTGATTTTTTTGTAGAAAAATATGTTTATTAAAAATATGCTTTTTAAAAACCCAAACCTTTCGTCTGTGCCACATCTGCTGGAGAAAATGAGACTTGACAAATATTTTTAGATTAAATAAATGTCATGTATAAAATTTTAGGTGCCAAATTTTGGGTTTAGCTCTGCTGTAAGCTGGAGGGGAAATGTACAGATGAATCAAACGAGAAAGAAACTCATAACCATTATTTATTCCATAGTCATCAGTTTTCACTTCTCCATGAGGACGGCTCACTTCCTGTGTGAGAGGCTGACTGAGGAGGACAGGAGAGCATCCTACAGCTGGGTTGTGTTTCTTCATGAACCGGTACCTGCGATCAGGTTTGGGGTCTTGGGGTGCCTTCGTCTTTTCCCAGAGTCTCGCTGAGACTGACAGCTTGTGTGTTTGGCCCATTCAACACAACATGGCAAGTAATACTCGCCTGACTGGCTCTACTTCCTCCTTTCTATCAGAGTTTGTTCACTTCAGCATTCCTCGTGTCATTTGGAGCAATTATGGTGACTATAGAGCGTTTGTCTCTGCGAGTATGCGACTGTCATTTGATTTGTTTACAGGGGATTGTGGAAAAGGTGGAGGACTTGAGGTTTCTGTGTCGTCTTTGTTGAGACCCCTGAAAGCATTTGTAGATGTGGCAACAGAAATGGCCCCAGTCCAGAGGGACATGGTGAATAGATGCATTTGGTGCCATGAAGTCATCCAGGACTCATCTGATCTGTAACAAACCAACACAACAGCTAGGTAAGACTCATTTACTTTGTTATATTACACACATCAGGCAGGGTAATGCTTCTTTTTTTCATAGTGAGCACTGGTTATTGTCAAGACAATCTGGTCATCAGTAATGCTTAAGTTGTGTTTTCATTCATTTCCTCTCTTACACTTTTTTAGAAGCTTCATGAAATTTGTACTAGATTCACTTTGTATTTTTGATTAAACCATAGAAATCACTGATTTCTCTAACATCCCTGTGCTGCTTTTTGGTCTCATCCACCCTCATCAACCCTTTGTTTTACAACTTCTGCTGCAACACAAACAGACTGAGTAGGAACAAGAACATCACAGCCAATTACAGAGTGACAGACAAGTGTGGCAGTCACCATCAGGCTGTACGTGTGAGTCAGAATACTGATGAGAAGTAAAAATATATCATCCGTAAATGTACGAGTTTTGCGAAAACTTAACCGTTCATCTAGTGTTTCCTGTCAGCTGCTAAAAATAATAATAATTAAAAAAAATCTCAGTTTCTAGTAAATATTGAAAGTTACTAAATTTAGCCAAAATCTGAACTTTCCATTCTTTGTTCAGCAATTTCCCTTCAGCTTCCCTTAGACCACTTCTGCTTTGGAAGTTTTTTGGTATTGCTGATTTGATTAAGTTTTTTAATTAGTATTATTTTATTTAATCTGCAAAACACAAAGCAGCTCAGTTGTCTTTGTTTAAAATTTTATTTCACTTTCAGTTATGATAAGTGAGTCATTCTGTTGTCAATTTAGAGCGATATACCTTTTTCAGAAAACTCTCCCTGCAGTTTATCTCACATCAAAGGGAATTTCCTTGCCTGCCTAGCTGGTTAAAAATAGTTTTTTCTTCCTCTTGCTCTTCTTCATATTTTCTTTTGACATGGTGTAATTAGTTTTTAATGTCTTTGTAAATGCAAGTGCTGTTTACTGCATTATTTCTTGTGTTCATATTCAGAACGTAAACAAGCAAAGGCAGTTGTAGGCGCAACAGTTTTAATAAAATAAAATAAAAATTATTGTTATTACTATTAAATCACATGATTATTAATTCTTGACAGAGACTAAAAAAACCTGAATAAAACAGCACAATTTCACAATAAAACACAGCTCAGTTGGTGTTATATTGTTATCATTTATGCTGTTTGGTTTGTTGAAGACGTCAGTAATAGTGTTTGTGTGAAAGTGAAGATAATGCTTCATGTTTAGAGCATGATGTGACGTCGGAATGTGTTTGTGAGGGGGGTGGGTGAGAAACAAGAAATMTAAACAGCACTTGGCCAAGGTTAAAAAGATGTTGAGGTATTTGCAAACTTCTGCTATTTGTAAGTCATATCATTGTCATCTGGAAGTCTGAAGTTTTCGGAGCATAAAAAATCTGCTGCGAAACAAATCACCTTTTTCCCTAATAATTCATTAAAAGAGAGTTAATTTCAGCCTTTTAAAGGAGACTAAACTTATATATTATATCACACATGTACTCATTGTAATTACTTATTGGAGGCACAAAGTTTCTTGAAGGAATGCAAAATGCTCACCGCTACCTACCCATTTTTATGTTTGTTAAATTTCCTAAGTTGTGTTGGCCATTTTGAACCGTATTGAGTCCAGAATTTATTTTGTTGTAAATCCGATGATTACTTTCTCAAATTTACTTTCAAATCCATCTGATGGTTTTTCGCTAATCCAAACATATGCACACAAACAGACATGGGCAAAAATATTATTGCACCATCTTAGCATTTTTGGCAGGAAATCTTAAAAAAATATATTTTTTTGCACATAAAGTCTCTAAGCCGACTGAACAACGTTAATACCCATTAATGGTAGGTGAACACAGCATGTAACAGAACAAGTATTCTTTTATTTTTTTACAACTTATTTTGTTGCGTTAAAATATAAATGTTCAATTTAAAAATGATTTGAAATCTATTTTTATATTAAATTAAGTTAAAAATACAAATAATTAGAGATGCACGATATATCGTATTGATATCGGTATCGGTCGATATTGTCATTTTTAGAATATCGGTATCGGTTTGATATGTAAAACTGGGCCGATAATAACGTCCAATATGGATTTCCCACTTTTTAGCTTTGTGTTTCTGTTTTGGAAGGGGAGATGGTTGGTTGAGCGGCATCTGTTTGATCGTGATAGTGATGCTGATGCTGCGCAGCCAGGAATAACTGAAGTAGGGAGCCGTGTCAGAGGTCTGGTTGTTTATTTACGGTATCAAAAAAAGACCCAAGTGTGTTTGTGCGTATAATATAATTAGTGTGTTTGTGTAATATTGGTAAATATCGGTTATCGGCCATAACAGCAATAATTATATCGGATATCAATATCGGCTGAAATTTTCATATCGGTGCCTCCCTACAAATAATAATTAAAAGTGTTTTTAAAAATCCTTTTTTGGGGGAGAATGGGGGGCTCATTGGCGGGCCTGATGGAAGTCACACGTGGGCCAGATTTGGCCCGCAGACTACCAGTTGAATAGCCCTGTTGTAATGATATCACAAATTTTAAACATTTTCAATTGTACTCATTTATGATTACTCTTTAGTTTTTCTGAAATATGGCAAAATTATTTAATTTTCAATAATTATTAACTTAATTTGATTACTAAAGATCATCCCATGACCCTCAYTTTGAATTTCTTGACCCACATTGGGGGTCCCACTCCAAAACTCGGGAACCAGCGACTTACAAGCRTTTGTACAAACCCACTGTAGAAACCATGTAAATGCAGACAAGCCCATCCACACTGCTACAAACATTTAGTGGTGAGAACATTGTCCGTTAATTCAACCATATTGATCTGAAGTTTTCCTTCAGGCACAGGTAAGATTATAACCAAATCTCCACCAGCAGCTGGGGAAGGACTGTGGAGTAATGTGAAGAAACGGGTGAGAAAACAAAGGACGCACAGTGGGACATATTTATAGAAGGTGGGAAACTGATACTGAGAGTGTGCATCAGAAGAGACAGAGAGGGAGTGGGCAGGGTTTTACGTATGAGAGAACAACAGCACGCCGGGCTGGTGGGACAGAGACTGAGGGAGGTGTGGTGGGGGKGGTCGGGTGAAAGGGAAGCATGTGTGTGTGCTTAAGTGCTTGTGAGTGTGTGAGAGTATGAAACCAGAGCCAGAGTGGGATCAGGGGGAGAGATGCTGCGAGAGGATGAGGTCTAACAGGGTGAGGCAGCGGCGAGAGGCGCTGGGTGTGTGTGCGTGCGTGGGGGGGGAGTAGTAGTGTGTGTGAACAGAGGGATGCAGTCATGGCTCTGTGAGAGGGAGCAGCACAGCAACCGTAACCATGCTGAGCCCCAAGATAAAACAGGCACGCCGGGGTAAGCGCAATCCCTCCTCCCTTTTCTACCATTTTCCTTCTCTTTCGCCTCTTCCTTTCTTTCACTCGGCTGTCTCTGCATGGCTCCATCTGTCCCGGTGTCTTTGTAACATCATCAGCTGGTTGTGCTCTCATTGATAAAGGCATCAAGCAGGTGTAGTGGTCCCGTAGAGTTAAATCTGCGCACCGGGGTTTGTTATCGTCTTTATTTTTCAGGATGTTTTAGCTCTCCTTTCCTTCTCCCAATGAGAGTTAAGACACTCTGCTACAGGGTGATGTAATCCGTCATTTCTCCAGCAAATGATTCAATCAATTCCAAGCCAATTTGATTGTGCAGGAGATGGGCTGTRGTAAAACATGGCTGCAGGGGAGATTATTCTGCCCTCTGTGGTGCTCTGCATCCTGTGTTGGTTGTGGCTTTTAGCAGGTGACAGACTCTAAAGGGGATGAAGCTATGACTCTTTGCTCTCCAAATCACAGCAGCTGACTGTCAAACATAGTTCCTGTAATGCGGCGTAAAATCCATGTGTAGGAGSTGGGACGTGAATATGTGCCTCTCACATGGCTGTTTTAAGGATGTCTGTGGAAGCTGTAAATCAGAGGAGCAGCTCCTGCCACTGAGGGTATTATAACGCAGGGTTGTCTTCAGTGCAGCTGGTTCCACCGGCTTTAGCATTTTCAGGTTGATTGGCTGACATTTGTTGCCTTACATTAGGGTGTGTCCACATGATTGATGCTTTTAAAGGATTTTATTCCTAAGGGATCTATTTCACACTGACCAAAACAGCAGAGCAAAACCCCGGCTATTCTTCAAGAGGTCAGGCATTTGTATCTTTAGGTTGGGTGTTGTTCCTCATGGCTGTTGTTGGCTCACTGAGCAGCTTAAATAAATAAAAAAAAGCTGATCATAAAAGATGATGGGAAAGTGAAGTGGATCTGCTTTCTCCTTCAGCTGGAAAGTGCAGCAGCCACTTCGGTTTTCTTGCCACGTCTTGCAAGGCTTGCCATCTTTTATTTGCTGTAATGGTATTCTCGTTTGATTAGATTCCCAGCTCCGCTCTCCTCCGACCCTTTTTACGCATCATCATCCAGGACAAATGCAAGCATCATCATCAGGCTGGAGCGGCTTTCTGAAACTCAGATATTAGGTTCAGATCTCAAGCAGACAAAAATGTGCCCCTTAAGGAAATTGTTACTGGTGAAATCAATGTGTTTGATGCATTTCAAATATAGTTTTTCTATATTTTTTATTTTCTTTGCTTTTTTTCTTTTTTCTTTTTTTTTTGTTGAAACAAAGAAATCGAGGGTATTTTATAATATTCTCAACAATCCTTCAAAAAGAAGTCCTCCGAACAGCAGAAATGTCATGATCTTGAGGTATTTTATGGTTTCAGATAGTATGCTGAATAATTAATAAACATTAATTAATTGACATTATTTAAAATTGAAACAGACAGTTTTATTGTCTATGAGAAACAAATAGGCAAAACAAACAAATGCCATACAATCGGGAACACACAGTGTAAAAATAATGGACTGTGAGAAAAAACTACCATTACATCTCTTCAAACACAACTATTTCTTCTTATCCACTTAAAAACAGCCTAAAATGCACCAAATCTGCTAAACAACATTTAACAGCAGAATTTTTTCTGCACTGTGCAAGCTGTTAGTGATGTATTACTAACAATTAATCATGTGAAGTTCATTTAAATATATCATTATAATGAAGACACATTTATCCTCTGCTTCTCTCTAATCTAAAGAGATAAATAGTCCAAATATTGCACATATAACAGCAATGCATTCTTCAAAGATACATTTAATCTGTTTTTAATTATCATACATATTTATTGATAAAGCTACTGTAACTAAATTATGTTTCTGTATTATTGGGGGGGGGGGGGTATTATGTATTTTTTCTACACCACAATCAAGTAACTATGTTGCCTTCAGCTGTTATGAAAATGCTGTTTATAACAAAAATCAAAAGTAAAGGCTTTACACCAGAGTCTGTCTAAACACCTTGAAATTGGCCTCTGTCTCTTTAAAAACCTCCTACCGTTTCTGACGCTCCCACTTCAGCTCATCTTCACAACAATGCTTCGGGGGAGGGGGTGCTCCGGGCAGGATCTCTGCTGCGGACTAGGATTTCTCAAACATGTATAAATGAGTCAAAGCAACACTCTGTGTGTTTTTTGATGAAGGGATGGCATTATAACATGATATAAAGCACAAAAAAGTTGATTTTGTACAATACCCCTGTTTTGATCTTGCTTTCGTAGGTCGTTTGAAAGTTTGAGGGTTTTCAAGTTTAGAATATTTTGAATACATCTTTTTTTAAATTTTGGGAAGTTTTTTCTTACTTTAGCTTCTGTGTTGCTGCAGTCTCAAACCAACACAGACACATTTTTCTTCTTCCTTAATTCAGTGTTCAGTCTGCTTTTCTAAATTTACAGGTAATTTATAAGCATTGTGGACCACTCAATAAACAGTGCATCATCTTCATGAGTAGAAAGTGAGAGATTATGACGTTTGGGTGTTCATGGAGCCACAGTATTGTATGACTGCTGCGCAGACAAAATGCTCCATCTTCATGGTCTCTATTACCGAACGGCTCACTGCTCTCAGCACTTTCAAAAGCTCCCTCGTAGATCATCTCAATACTTCTCAGATGATTTGTGAGGACTGGACTGTTTGGCAGATAAATCTCGCCGAAGCTGTTTAAATTTACACTTGTGCTTGTTTTTTATTAACTTCCGCTTCTTTATTGTAATGTTTATTATTAAATTTAAGCTCAAAATGCACTTGTTTGAAGAAACCGATTGGCTTATTTGTCCTTGTAACTTCAATAATCTTTTCTCAAAATCTCCCTTTCAGATTAATATTCATCGTGTTTCTGAATAAAGCTGACTGCAGGTGAATGTGATATTTGTGGATTCATTTCTTGCCAGAATTAGGAACTCCATTAAACTCAGAAAGCTGCCACTGACTTGTTGATTAAATCAGTTAATTTGGTTCAGATTCAGACTACTTAAACAATAATATGGAGCAACACTTCAATAATTTGAACAGTTAACCCACCACTGATTATTATCATAACTGTAAGTGGTGATGCAATTTGTGCAAAAAGATTAGACTTTGATCTTTGTACGCTAATAGTGCTAAATTACAGTTCCTCCTTCGAATTTCCTGTCTCCATAATAAAGATGTGGCCGCGGTGTCTGCTATAAATACAGACCTCTGCCTGCTTCTGCTGCCAGCATACAGTATTATTAACGACTGCTCTATGTGCTTTATACTCTTCCACCTTCCCTGCAATCAAAACTCTGCAAATGAAGGACATCCAGAAAGGGGAGGAAGCGACGTCAGAGGAGAGAGAAACTGGGGAAGCAGGAGAAAGAAAAATGGAAAGAGAGATTTGTGTCCAGCCCCTCACTGATACCTTCCCTGCTGTCCTCAGCAGAATGCAGGATGCAATTAACGGGGGGGGAAAAAAGATGCCATTGATTCTTCCCTCTCCCACTGTCTTGTGTTTATCTCCTCCTCTGCTCCCTGGGGATCATTACACTGTCACTGCTTTTGCTCTGTGGCTTTGGCATATAGATGCTAATATTTAATCCATACTTGTAATCACTCTGTGGCAAAGAAATAGCACGGTCCGAAGCAGATGTGAAATTGTATGTTCCTTTTTTACTGAAACAAAACAAGTGAACAATAAAATGCACCATGTGCTATATAAAAATGGATTTGCTAGATTTGTTTGGAGTTCTCTATTAATTCTGATTGTGCACACCTTTCTCTTTGGGTATATTACTCATTTATCTTTTGTAATTATTGCTAAACAGCAGAGAAAACCAGTCCCATTCTCAGCTTTACTGTATGTGGCTGTATTTTCTTCAGAGTTGTAAAGTAATTTAAGTACAAATACTTTGCTACTGTACTTAAGTATAATTTCTGGGTATCTGTACTTTACTTGAGTAATTATCTTTTGGCCTACTTTTTACTTCTACTTGTTACATTTTCACACAATTATCTGTACTTTCTACTCCTTACATTTTTTAAAAAGGCAAGAAGTAGAAAGTCGTTACTTCAATTTAATTTTTGCTTGTTTTCGTTCAAGCTTGTTACTGTAAAAATAAATACTATCCATATAAGTTGTACCTCCTAGATAGAGTGAGTTTAATTGGGGTTGAATGAGAAATATAAATATATAAAATTCTGATACAATATTAGTTTGTACACAAACAAATCATGTCACACTCCAGCAGAACATAATCATTCAAATAAAAGGACTGTACTTAAGAAGTATTTGTATTTCATGAATTACATTATTGCATTTGGCCTCGGATAGATTTTCATTTTGTGGAAAAGGTTTGGACATCCTTTATATGAATATAAACTGAAACAGCTGGACTAGTGTGTCCTAAATTTAACATTAATTAATTATTTTAGTACAATATAGTCATTTCTGCATCTTTTGGGGAGATCACCTAATTATTGTCCATATAGAAAATCTAACTGCTCATTTTAAATCAATACTTTTACTTTTAATACTTAGAGTAAGTACAAAAAATATCAGATACTTTAAGACTTTTACTCAAGTAATATTCCTAAAGGAGACTTTAACTTTTACCAAAGTCATTTTTGATAAAATACTTGTACTTTTACTCAAGTATCACGTTGTGGAACTTTTATACAACACTGATTTTCTTATGTCTCCCTCTCTGATCGTATTCCTCCAGCAGTTTCCCCTCACCATGTCTCATTGTTTGTCTTCGTGCAGCTCGATCCAAGAGCATGGTTCTTGGCGAGTTGTCTCGACTCTCCAGGCCCTGCTCTCCTCAGGACCAGGAGAAACCCCTGAAGGCGGGCTGGCTCAAGAGGCAGAGGAGCATCATGAAAAACTGGCAGCTGCGCTGGTTCGTTCTGAGGACCGAGGCTCTGTATTTCTACAAAGACCAGGATGAAAGCAAGGCGCAGGTGAGCCGACCTGACACGCAGGGAACACGTAAAGCGGCAATATTTGGGATTCACGTGGTGTGCTAATAACATGGAAACAGGCTGTCCTCTACTTCCGCTCTAAGAGCTTAGCAGTTGACTTTTGATCCTATCTTTGCTGGACGGATTGTAAACGTACATCCAGAACCATCAGAGGAATTAGATGAGATGTTTCCCTGAGTCATCCCTCTGTTGGACGGTTGCCCAGAGAGGAGAGTACTCCCAACTCTACTGAGTTAAAAAATGCGCCGCACGTCCAAGACCAAAAGCCCCGCTTGTCTCTCGCTCCGTTTCACGCCTTTTTCTCTTTTCTCCGACAGGGCTGCATTCCTCTGCAGGGTAGCCAGGTCAATGAGGTGCCTGCCAATCAGGATGAGCCCGCTCGACACCTGTTTGAAATTGTTCCAGGTGAGTTGGCGCGGTGGCGACTTTGTTGTGTAAGGGGATAATCCTTTGTTTGAGTGATACTGATGATCTGTTCAGCTGAATAACAACCAGGAAAAATAAACAAACTAGTGAGGCTTTTTTTAAAGGGCCAATATTATGTGTTTCTTAGGCATATATTTAAATACTATACCATAATAAAGTATCTATGTCACTTTTAGTTGTTATTAAAATGCTGTTTTTATGTTTAAATATAAAATAAACATCTTCTCATCACTTACTCTTCTAAACGCCTTGAAATTGGCCTCTGTCTCTTTAAGAACCACCTTCTGCTTCTGTCCCATCCCATTACAGTGCAGGGGCTGGGGGTCGCGCGCTATGATGCAGTTTACTTGGCATCTGAAAATACATTTCCACAAAGGTATTTTGACTCTGAAAAGAGCTTCACTGAGTGACAAGT